AGGGGCGGGGGCGAGGCGGGAGGGGCGGGGGCGAGGCGGGAGGGGCGCTGTGCACTACGGTTCCCGCCGACCCGCGCGCGGCTCGGGCCGTGGCGCTCCCAGAGCCGTGCGCCGCGGGGCATGCTGGGAGCTGCAGTCCTGCCCCGGGAGGGCTGTCTGAGGGGGCGGGCGGGAAGCCCTGCAGTTTCTTGTCGTTAAAATAAAGCCGATGTCCGCGTTTCTGCCGATTTAATGATGTCTTTCGGGACGTAAATCGTAGAACGAGAACTAGGCGTGTTGTTGTTACTCTTTTCTCTGTTTGGAGGGTCCTGTTAGATGGTATAAATGAAGCGACCGCGAACTTAATCGTGTTAAAAAGCATCCAAACAGAACAAGGCTTAGTGACTGCTGGGTGTAACCGCGCTGTGCAGACGGGCAGGGAAGAAGCATTCAGCAGGGCGGCGGGCAGTGCAGTAACACGGTGCTCTCGTACAGCACGCCCTCGGCACCATGGTGGCCACCACGAAGGCATCCAGCGGGCTCCCGCAGCCTGGCGATGAGTACGACTTCTACCGCAGCTTCCCTGGGTTCCGGGCGTACTGCGAGGCGCAGGGCCAGCGGCTCCTGCACTGGTAAGAAGCCGTCGCGGCTCCGGCATCTTGTGATCCCAAACAGAGGGTGGCACCTTTCTTGGAATCTCCAGGCTGGTTGGAGATTAAAGGACGTTTTGGGTCACGTGCCTAACTTTAGCTAAGTTTCGAACGGTTCACGTTTTAAACAATGGGTTTACACAATGCCTTTAATGGTGTTGGTGGTAAAGAAGTGTGGAGCAAGCAGGGACTGATGTGAAATGCATAAGGCTTTGGGGGAGACCTGGGAACGGCCTTTTGGTATCTAAAGGAGCATATAAGAAAGAAAAGAACATAACCTATAGCAGCATCAGTTATGATAGAACAAGAGGAAAGGGTTTCGGACTAAAAGAGGGGAGGTTTAGACTGGCTATAATGGTAAGGATAGTGAGTCACAGGCTGCCCCGAGTGGTGCTGTGCCCCATTATCTGTGGAGACACTTGAGGTCAGGCTGGATGTGTCTCTGAACACTGATAGAGCTGTAGATGTCCTTGTTCATTGCAAGGAAGTTGGACCAGATGGCCTTTAAAGGTCCCTTCCAAACAATTCAGTTATCTAGAAAGTTGTTTGAGAAAGAAATTAGTACTATTAGTACTAAATAACAGTACTGTAAAGGTGTGTCTTATGTTTACTGCTTGCATGTAATTATAGGTATTACATTTGATCTGCTTTCAAACTTCTAAGATGTAGAAAGTCGAGAAGAAGTGCATGATTTGGTGCTCAGTGTGCCTGTTGAAATCAATAGTAACTGTGCTGTTCTCTTGCAAGCATGAGCAGGGTGATGCAGTACCATGGCTGCCGCAGCCACATGAGAGATCACAGCAAAGTCACAGAGCTGGAAGATAAGTTTGATATGCTGGTTGACTCCAATGACGTCATTCTTGAAAGAGTGGTGAGCAAATCATTCCTCAGCATTATTTGTATAAAGTATTCGGGTACCACAAGTTTTTTTTAATTAAAATAGGTTTAATATTAGTGCTTTTACAATTGTGTTGTGTACAGCAGGTGTTTGGTTTTCACCTTTTTTTTTTTTTCCCTTGGAATTTAGGGTATTTTACTGGATGAAGCAGCAGGAGTGAACAAAAACCAGCAGCCCGTCCTTCCTGCTGGGCTGCAGATGCCACAGACGATCGTCTCCAGCTGGAACCGCAAGGTGAGGCTGCTGCACTCAGGTTGCTGTTGCAGCTTCTTTTTCCCAGTACAGTGCTCCAGTTTTCCAGTGGACCTTAGTAGTTAAATGTACTTAAAGGTCCTTTTCATGTGTTCTCACTCTGTTTTCTCACAGTGTTGGGTCAGTGGATAGGAGAAGCTCTGGATGTCTGTTAAGTCACGTTGGTTTGTCTTCCTTTTAATAGGCAGGAGAATACCACAAAAGAACTAAATCTGAAACCTTCCGACTGCTTCACGCCAAGAACATCACTCGCCCACAGCTTAAGTTTAAAGAAAAGATTGACAATTCCAACACTCCCTTTGTACCTAAACTTTTTATCAAGCCAAATGCTTTGAAACCATTGCCTGAAGGTAAGTTTTTTTGTTGTTGATGGGTAATCTGTTGAGAATACTTGTCCTGACAATTCAGAAGAGGAAATGTTGACTGTAAAAACAAGTAGGAGCAGAAGATGTTGACTATTTGGTTGAGATTACTCTGTGACTCCATTGTTTGTGTACGTGCAGTGTAAGATTTGGTCAGCATACAACATCTTCTTGTTGGTATACAGTAATTAACCTGTTCCCAACAGATGCTCTGCTGCTTCCCTATGCCACCATTGAATTTCCATAATGAGAGTCCCCCTGACAGAAGGAGTTTTGTTGATTGGTCTGTAAGTCTGATTGACTTTACAGATGCCTTCTTCTAATTAGTCAGAAAAGGAGGGACAGGATTAGGCCTGGCTTTATCAAAGCTGCCAGTGAAACATCTCGTCTCAGCAAGGTGTCACATTTCTGCTGCTGATCCACCTCGAGTCTGCACTGATGTGGGTGTAATTTAGAACCTGGGAATGAGTGAAAGTGTTTGCTGAAGGTTTTTCAGTCTCTTTCCAAGCTTTCAAGCAGAGCCACCTTGCGTGTTTCTTACAGCATCCTGTTCAGACCCAGTCGCTGGGTTTTCTCTGGAGCTGCAGACACAAATCTAGCGGGCAGCAAAAGCTGTAGGTCTAAATTAACAAGTTCTTGATACTTTATGACTGCAAAAGGATGCTGTGGTGGGTGGAGGGGAGAGGTTAGTAGGCTGAGAGCATGTTATCTGTGGGACCTGGTCCAGTTGTTCCATATTGGTTGTTCAGCCCTCACAAAAAGCGGACGGGAACGAAAGGAACGCCCCGAAGACTTGGATGTCCCAGCTGCTTTGGCAGACTTCATACACCAGCAGAGGACGCAGCAAACTGAGCAAGACATGTAAGAACTTAAACCAGCAGCGAGGTGCTTGGAGTGCACTGCTGAGCGTGCACTTGTGTGATGGCATCTGTGTGTAGCAGCTCTGCATGTGTTTGTGTCTGCACACTGCGTTGTGTGTGATCTGCTTCAGTCATCAGAGTTATCTTAAACCTAATCCTTAGCAAGAGACAAAGTTATTACTCAGTAGGAAAACTTGTTAGGTCTCAGAAGTCTCTGTCTGCTGGCTTTGTGACTGAAATGTAGTCCGTGCCTGTTTTCCTACTTTCCGTAGGTTTGCTCATCCTTACCAGTATGAACTGGAGCACTTTTCTCCACCAGATGGAGTTCTTAAGAAGCCAGAACCCCAGGTTGGTGCCCATATTAATTTGTGAGCAGATGCAATAGGTTTACAGCCTTGACAAATTTCAGAATTGAGAGGGGGAGGTCTGGAGCAGGGATGGACAGAGAACTTACTGTTCCTAATAATTTACTCTGCCAGATGTACAGACCCATGAAGGAAACACCTTGTCATTTTATCACTACACTGGATGAGCTGGTTGAACTGAACGAGAAGCTTATGAACTGTAAAGAGTTTGCTCTGGACTTAGAGGTAATCAGTTTGTGTTTTCTATTTAAAAGCTGTATGCATGCTCTTAGCACCTAGGAAACTGCTCTGTTCTTCCAGGCTATTTTGCAGCTTTCTCTTTATCCCACTTTTAGTGCTTTCTTACATGTGTTTAGTTCATGGCCATGACATGTCGTATTGTCTAGAGGCCTGAAACAAACAGTGGCAGTGTTTTGAGTTTTTCAGTGGTAGTGATGGCTGCATGTTTCATACTGAATTTGTTTTGATTTTGCCCATGCTGGGTGCTGCGTTACTGAGTGCAAGGGTGAAGCTTGCTCTGATTATCTTGGCTTTGGGAAGTTCTCTGTTCATTTTTCTTCCTTCATTTGGAGTGCATTTGTTTTGTACTATTATCTGCAATCGATCCTAATTAATATTTCTTGTTGTTTTTCAGCACCATTCCTACAGGAGCTTCCTGGGCTTGACGTGTCTGATGCAGATTTCCACTCGAACAGAAGACTTCATTATTGATACGCTGGAGCTGCGCAGTGACATGAGCATCCTCAATGAGACCTTCACAGACCCTGCAATTGTGAAGGTCAGCTGCCACGATCACCACAATTCCTTGTTTGATTGTTTGATTTTGGTGGTTCTTGTTCTTTTTGGTAGTCCTGCACACTTAATGGTGAAAGTCAGAGCAAACAAGAAGTCTGATCCCAGACACGTGAATGTGAACCCCCACAGCACTGACAGCCTGCAGTAGAAATGTTCTTCATGTTATCCTCAATTTCTATTGCTTTACAAGGTCCTGCACGGTGCTGATTCAGATGTGGAGTGGCTGCAAAAAGACTTTGGCCTGTACTTGGTGAACATGTTTGATACTCACCAAGCTGCTCGTCTTCTCAATCTTGGCAAGCACTCTTTGGACCACTTGCTGAAGCTGTATTGCAGTGTGGATGCTGACAAGCAGTACCAACTGGCTGACTGGAGGATACGGTAAGAATTCACCCCTTAGATGGGCCGAGCTGCAAGGTGGCACTTAGCCTTGTTTCTGTTGTTAGGCTAGGAGCTTGTTTCTGCTTGCAAGCCCCATAGTTGTACGTTGCTCTCAAAGCAAACAGGCACAGCGTTTACCTTTAAGTGGTTTAAGTTTTTGTAAGTGTTACATCTTTCTGTGTTTCTTCAGAGATTGAGTTATTTGGGGAAGGTCTGGGAATATTGTTTAATGAAAAGCTCATGTGTAAGAAACATGAGGGAAGCTCATTTCCTGGGGGCAGTGCTGAGCCACTGCAGTGTTGTGCAGAATGTCAGTGTTTGGCTTCTAAGTCCTCACAAAACTGTTTGGTTACCCATGGTAGATAGAGCAGTGTGCTGTGAGAGCACTCAGCCTGGCTGTAGGGATCAACTCTGCACACTACAGAGAGCCCAGGTTTAGTTTGTAGGCTCTGAAGAATGAAAAGGGTCTTGACAAATGCCATAGCAGGCACTTCTGCTGTCTGGCTCAACAGCACAGCAGTCATGTTGTCCATCTGAACAAGGTGTCATCTGAATGAGTGCACAGTTTGTTACTGCTGTTGTCCAACAAATCCCTCAGGAAGGAAACAGAAGGATTTACTGTTAGTGTGTTTGGGATGCAGTTTGCCCCAGTGTGTGCTGCAAAGGGAAAACGACTGGTGGGGGGCAGCTAAAATGTTTTAGTGACATTTTGGCTCTTTTTTCAGCCCTTTGCCAGAGGAAATGATGCAGTATGCCCGTGATGACACTCACTACTTGCTCTACATTTACGATAAGATGAGGGAGGCACTGTGGGAGAGAGGCAACGAGCAGCCTGCTCAGCTGAGGGTTGTTTGGCAGCGCAGCAGAGACATCTGCCTGAAGGTAAAGCTTCATCTCATTGCATTACCTGGATCAGAGTACAGGCTTACCAGGACACAAAGTCCTTTACCCGTTTCTTCATCTGTTGCATAGACATTTTGTTTTGTTTTCCCTACTTGCGTGTGTGAAATCGACTGTGTGAATCCATACTGTGCTGTGTGCAGCCTTTTGCTTCGCTAGGCAAAGTGCCTGCATTTGGACTCCCTCTTGCTATTGTTTGAATGCTGACACACCTTGGCCGTATCGAGTGTGCCTTTCCCCAGGGAAATGTTCTATTTCCAGTTCTACTGGACATTGCTGACAGTTCAAAGCCTTGGTGGAGTTGCCTTGAGACAATTATATTGTGTCTGCGGAAAGTGCTGACTCCAAGAGGCTTGACATCTGAGTTTATTCAATCCCCTTGCATTTGTTGAGGTTGTGACCTGTTGAAGCAATTCGATCGAGTAAGCACCAATCTGATGGCTGATCACAAGTCTTTCTTTTTTTCCTCTCCAGAAATACATCAAGCCCCTCTTTTCAGATGAGTCCTACCTTGAGCTCTACAGGAGGCAGAAAAAACACCTCAACACACAGCAGCTGACAGCATTTAGATTGCTGTTTGCGTGGAGAGACAAGACAGCGCGTCAGGAAGATGAGAGTATAGGGTAGGAGGGCATTTGTTACAGAAGCTGTCTTCAATGAGTGTTGGATTGTGCTCCCAGCCCTGGGGGGGAGCCTCTCTGTTATCTGTAGAAATTAGTGTGCTGCTTGGGGCTGCTTTTTGCGTGTAGAACAGAAGTATCATGATGTTTGAAGTAAATTCTTATGTGTATCTAAATCACTCCTGCTTAATTTCTTCTTGATTGACTTATGTCTTCACACAGTGTAATCTGGGGCAGACTTGTGCACTTGCAGGATATTTTTATGAGTTTTTCACATTCTGTTATGTTCACGCTGCCTCTTTGTGTTGTAGATACGTGTTACCAAACCACATGTTACTGAAGATAGCAGAGGAGCTGCCCAAGTAAGTTTTGTTCATCCTTGAGGAGTCTCATTTGACTTTGGTATCTTGCAAAGTGTTTCCTAGTGCATAATTTCGTTTGTAGTTAGTTCCTTCCAGCTGTCAGGACTGCTTTTCTATATAGTTCTTCAGTTTGTTGAAGAAATAAACTGCAGTTTTCCCCCAGAAGCTCCAAATTTCTTCTCAGAAATGCATCTCTCTGGTTTTATTGCACTAATACATTCCTTTGCATTGCTATGTATCACACATCTGCCCCTGCGATTCCTGCAGTATTACAGAGCAAGGGAGAATAGAATTCCCCTGTAACATCTGGGCTTTTTTGTTCCCAGTGGGAGTTGAGTGAGGACAGATCTCTTTCAAAACTCAGTTTATCCAACTTGTTCCTGTTCTCCAACACTTGGCACACTCATCATCTAATGTTCTGTACCTGAGAATGATAAAAATACACCTTTAAGTGCAAGTCCATTGTTGGACACAGCTTCAGGAGATGATCAGCAATAAAGGAAAAAAAGGAACAAAGAGTACGGACAGAGCACAGTGAAAAGAGTGAGTTGAGAGCTGTGTTGTTTCTCCTTACCTGCAGAGCAGAAATTTTCATCACTGAGGATATACTCTGACAGATTAATCTGACTTGTCTCATGCTGTCACAGTCAGGCCTGTGGTTGTGTCCACTTGCACATCCTTTGAATGCAAATGCTTAACATAAGCCATAAATACAGCACACTGCATTTTTCTCATCTCTCTTTAGAGAGCCCCAGGGTATCATTGCTTGCTGCAATCCAGTCCCACCTCTGGTTCGCCAGCAGATTAATGAGTTGCATCTTCTCGTTCAGCAGGCCCGAGAGATGCCTCTTCTCAAGGTAGGAGCAGCTCGTGTCACACAGCAGTCATCACTTGCTTTCCATAGGGCAGGGACTGCAGCCAAATGGAGACCTGTGAGGGTGAGGTGCATGTTGGCATTACTGAGCAGGCTGTGGTTGCCCCTGCAGCAGCCTGTCTTTATATCACGCTTTACACTGAGCTGTGAGGAGCAGCTGCACCTCATGGAATCTGTAGGCCATGTAAATGGATTCCTAAATCTTACTCGGCTGTGGTGAAGAAAAAACAACTCTAGATTTGAGAAATTCAGTAGGTATGGTCCATTTTTAGCATGTAGGTATTGGTACAGCCTTCTCCCTTTGGTGCAACAAGGCTGTTTGTGAGCATGACCATTGGCTTTCAATATCCATATGCAAACACTGCAGGCAAATAAGAAAGAACGTAGTTTTATTAACCTAGAAGCTTGTATTACATGTATTGAAAACATGAGAAGAGAAGTCAGTCCAGAAGAAATAGGGCAGGTGCAGTTAACTGACTTTCTTTCTCTCCCATTCTAGTCGGAGATTGCTTTGGCAGTCAAGAAAAGGACATCTCTCTCCAACCCTGAGGTAATGTTTGCATAATAGTTGTCTCCTTGCATCTTAAGCCTTAAGCATGGGAAAAAACAACCTAGCAACATTCTAGCTTCCAGTAAATTGTTTATCCTAGTCCATTTTATAGATCTTTCCTCTTTATGTTGATGTTAAATTTCTGTGCTGGACTCCAAGCATTACCAGCTGCAAATTGGCATTTTACAAATCAGCACAGAAGGTTTCATCAGCAGACACCTGGTAGATGGTAGGCATTTGCACGTGTGTCAGTCTGTATTGGTGGGTCCTTGTGAAGGGAAGTCTCAGATGAGCTGCTGAGGCTGACTCATCCTCCTGCTTAAAAGTCCAGCATCTCCATTAAGCACTGGGTTGTTGCTTTTGATGCCGGGTGCGTTGTGCTCTGACAGGTGAGTTAGAAACACTCAGTCTCTGAATGTCACCCTTCTCTTTGAGTTTTCTTAATGCATCTCTGCAATAGGTGAAAACATGTGGATTCCTAGAGTAGTGTACTGATGGTGTTTGCCATTTGAACCTTTCTGCAGAGGCTGGAGAATGCCTTCTTTGGACCACACGACAGTTCCCGGATTCCTATGGATGATTTTCAGAATAATTCTGCTTTAGGTAATTTGGATTTATGAGTTGTGATAGATGTGACACTGTGTGATTTGATAGGGGGAAATGAGCAGCACTGAAGAAATTGTCATGAAATCTTACTATGTGAAGAAGTAACCAGTAGAATATACATGTATCTAATAGAATTCATCTTCTTTTCAATTTTCATGTAGAATCTACATCTGCACCAGTCTTGGAACGTGATTCTCTCTTTTTGGACAGTGAGAGGACAATGAATATTCAGGGTGTTCAGCCAGAGTCAGCGTGCCTTGTTGCTACTGCCACTGTCAGCATATTCAGTGTAAGCACTCTGTGGTGGTGCCAGCATTCAAGTGTTAGGAAACAAACTTAATGTGGTGTAAATGTGTGGTAGCAGTGAAAGAAGTAGTAGGGTGTGCATGGAAGTGCTGCTGGTGTCCTGTCAGACATATGGCATAACAAGACAATGAGGCTGGGAGGCCAGCAAATAAATTCTTTCTGGAGGGTTGCTGCCAGTGCTGGAGTTTCAGATAATGACAGATAACGTGCATGGGATGGCAGTGGCCAGGAGTAAGAATGATTCATGTTAATGTTTCTTCCCTTTATTTCTTTTTTAGGAATGTGATAAAGATGAAGGAAGTGAGAAGGTTTTAACAGCTGCACAGAAAAAAGCTCAGCGTATAATGGAGTCCTTTGAAAATCCATTCAGAATGGTAAAATTCAAAGTGGGGTAAAACCCAATATGTGTTTGTAGTGATGCTGACAAACCAGCCTGTGCAAAGGGTGCTCTGCTCTGCTTTCCCAGGCTGCATGACAGACCTTGATGTAGTAACAGCTCTGCTGGAGTTGAGAGATTGTCCTTGCAGAGCAGACGTGTGGATGTGCTCTCAAAGCATCCCGAGTTGTGTCTGTAGTAAGCAGACCCCTTGTACTGCTTTCTGTTTGTTTATCAAGCTTGAGGTTTATTTAATTTGCATCACATTTTCATCTCTGTGGCTGAAATTAGTGAGTTGATTTTATTCTTCTAATGAAAAAGAACAATAGAATAGTTTGTAACAGATATGGAGCAGCAGGTTACTGGGATGCAGCATACAAACAACTCTTTTCTGCTGTGTGGTTGGAGGTTTTGTTTTGTGTGTCTGGTTTGGTTTAATTGTTTATTCTTTAACGTTGTTGGCTGTGGTAACTGATTTTTCCAAAAGATGATCTTCCTGTAGGAATGTTTCTTACACATGAATTTGATCTGGGACGTGGCAATGAGCTGACAGCACCAATAGCACACGCTGTGCTTAAAGACAAATGCTCTTTTCCCTTTCTGCAGTATTTGCCTTCAGAACAGAATCCTGCCTACGTCTCACAGTCTGCAAAGTTTGACCCATCATCAAAAATTTACGAAGTAAGACTGAAGTTAAAATTTCCTGCCAACTACTAGAAAAGAAACAAATACTTAGATTCTTTTCCTTTGGGAGCCTTAGCAATATATGTTTGGTTTTTTTTTTTTTCTCCTTAGAAAAAGAATATAAACTTTAAGAAACATAATGTGTTCCTAAGTCAGTATCTGATTGTTTGAATAGCATTCATACCCTTCAAAGAGCCAGAGATTGGAGACATTCCACTTTGTAGTCTGGGTCTGTCAAAGCTACAAACTACTGCTGAAGTCTGCATCTGCCTTTGTTCTCATTGGGCTTGTTTGTAGCTCAGAACTTTTAAAGCCCATAGTTCTACTTTACTTGGTGCAGCAGATCTTAATCTCTTTTACAATCCAATTTGATCTTTTGTGCTCTTAATGAAGACCAGCATGTGGTAGCAAGTTTATAAACTCCCTGTTGCCATAAAACTTCAAAGAAAACGATTCCAGGTAATTTTTTTTCCTTTGCAGATCAGCAATCGATGGAAGTTGATGAGTAAGACACAAGTACAGAAGGAATCCAGGGATGAAGCAAAAAAGAAAGCAGCTCAGCAGTCAGGTACAGCCCTTTTTCTCCTCGGTGTGTTGGCTAATGTGCTTTTCCCAGTGACTTTCTAACCTCGTGGCTAATTTAGTCCTGCTTCCTACAGTAATGTCTGTTTGTCTCTAGCTGCTCGTGACCAAGCACAGAAGGAGTACAAAGAGGCAACAGAAAACATTGTGTCTGTTCGTCAGCAAGCTATGGTATGTCCCTGAGTTTAACTCTTCCAGCCTTTGCCTTCTTTGACCTTTTTAACATCAATTCAGAATAAGACCCTGTGCCCCCATTACTCTACCGATGCCCAAGCTGAAAGCAGCTGATCTCAAGTGACCTGAATGACAGACAGCCTTGATAGCAGGCTGTCCGTGCTTCTCCCTTATGTGCAGCAAAAGCCCCTGGCAGCTGTGCTCTGCAAATCTTCACATCCTCCCTTGTCTTCAGAAAGGAATGTGTTGCACTCCTGCAGCTCACTGTTCCTTGCTTGCTTGTGGGGTGACAGCAGATCTCAGCCTCAAATGTCCCATGAAATGACAGCTTGGCTTTTCATCCGAAAAGTCCCTGCACTGAGAGGTGGAAGGAAGGGAAGGGACGTGGTTCAGTCCCAAAGGAAAACGCAGTGCTTTCCCCCCCTGCTGTTACTGCCACACACAGCCCCAGTCACAGGCCCAGCTCCACCAACAGCTCATCAGCATGCTGCTGCTCGTGCCTGCACAGAGATGTTTCATTCTCCTGAACTTGTTCCCATTCTGTGGGTCGCTTTCACAGCAGGAGCAAGCTAATAGGAAGAGGGAGAGGGTCATGAGTGAAACAGCACCAGAACTGCCAAAACCAGAGAAGAAACGGCCAAAAGCCTCCCAGCAACCAGAGGAGCTGGAAGCACCGAAGCAGTTTACCCCCTTTGATTACAGCAAGTTCAACTTCAAAGTGTTTGCGGGTAAGATCTGCATCTCGGCTGGAGTGCTGCAGGCTGTGGAAAACCTTGCCAGCTGAGGCCTGAGAAGGCTGTGTGAATCTGGGTGCCAAGGCAGTACAAATGGTTAAAATGCACTCACACTGCAGTGAGGAAACATTAAAAGAAATTTACCTAGGGAAGGGGTAGTGTAGCATCCTTTTTCTGGCTTGGAAACAGAACTTGGAAACAGGTGAGGGGATTGTGGATTCATGGTTTGCTTCTCTTCTCAGCAGTGAAAGTCATTTGTTTAATTGGGCCCAAGAAAGTAGGAGTTAAAGGAGACATAGCTTCTCATAATGTGTCTATTCAGAAGCTTCTTGTGCCCTGCAGTGGCTGTTCTGTTTTTTTTTAGCTTGGGAGACTGCAGTGAAACCTCTTCATCAGAGAAACACGAGGAAGAATTGTTCTTTCTAGCAATCTTCAGTGACAACTTCTCTCCTCTTTCCCATAGGAAGCAGCAAATCGAAGCAGTCAGCACAGTTTGATCCCACCAGACAAGTTCACACAGGCAAGGTACAGACATGTCGTGAAAGAAGTAACAGAACTCGTGGTGATCGTGTGTACCCAGCTGGGAATTGCTGGGAGAGGTTTTTTTATTGTTGGAAAAGCAGACTCTTCCAGGATCTGCAAAATATTCCCTTGCAGCTCTTGGTGCTGACACGCAGCTTCCAGTCACAAACTCGTGCCTTGCATTACGGCCTCGTCTTGCTCAGGAAGAGCTTTCCTGGGGCTTTCATGCTCTCCCATTGTTTCTCACCTGGTTGTACTTGGTTCAAGCTGCACCACCTGCACAGCAGGCACACTGCTTCAGCTACATCAAATTGCAGTTCTAAATTCAAGGCACCCTCCAGAATCTCAAAGTCACTCCGGTTGCGGCCTCGGCACATCCAGGTGTTGCCTGCATTCTCCACTCAAGGAAGAAATTTTTTCCTGATTTAATTTATTGCTAATTAACTTCTCATCGCTGACTGGGAGAATGAAGGGAACTGTGACCAGCACAGGAGAGTTTGTGTCTGTGTGCTGAACAGCTCGCTCTGGCAGAGCTGGCTTGTTAAGTGCAGTGCTCACGTATGGAGCATTTGAGACATGACGTCAGTGGCCATTCAAGCATGAAGTAATAGATGCTCATTTGTGAATTCATTGGGTGCCCAGGCACCAATTAATTTCCAAAGCTCATTTCTTGCTTTTCAGCCTCTTTCCTGTACATGCTGCCTTCTTGTGTGTTCAGCTGAAGGGCAAATGGTTCCAGGAAGCCTCTTAGGTACTCATTTAAAATCATATATCAGGAGCAGAACAGGTTTATGCCTGATGGTTTGTAAATAGTTTCCAGCACGATTTGCTGTGTCACTGGAAACTTCTCTCAAAAGAAAAAAAGCCAGCAAAACAATTTGACAGTGAATGTAGGAGAGCAAGGTTTTAGACCTTTAGGACTTCTGTCAAGGTGGGCGCATGGGACGTTGGTGGCAAGACCAGCAGAACAGCATGTATTCAAGTGGATTCAGTGCACATGCATGTACAGAAGTGGTAAAACAAAGCCCAGAGTGTAGGCAGTGCTCCTTGAGGTAGGAGGGTCCGTCAGGATGTGCGCCACGTGGAACAGACTGCGTTTGTCCGCTCCTCACTGCGCTGTTTTTTCTCTTCCACACAGAAATTTGCTGGAGCCAACAAACTTCAACAACCGGCTGGAAACCGAAGCATGTCCTACCTGGCAGGGAAAGCTGATAGGTGCGTTGTTGTCAGCCTGCTCTCATCGTGGGGCAGTGTTTGCACTCCTGTGCCACGGGCTGAGCACAGCTATTGTGCTCTGCTGCTGGGGGAGCTTAAGCACGTTTAATGGGAAGCAGTTGCATAACATCTACTCATGTTCATTTGGCAGCTTGACGTCAGTTTACGGGGGTTGGGGGGGGAAAGAAAAGAAAAGAAAAAGCTTAGTCAGGATTAATGCAAATAAAAGACGATTCTGGGTGGAAAGTTTGAAACGTTGAGGTAAAAGTTTGTGTTAATAGATGTGGGAGTCGCTTTCTTTGGCCACGAAGATGGGCAGAGGTGGGGAGAACATTTGTTTGGAGGGAAGACAAATAACAGTACTGCCAAATATGGACATTCTTGTTCTGAATATACTTAATGTTCAGCTTCCTGGGCTCGATTCTTGTGAATTCTTTGGTCATAAAAGAGCAGTGCCATGCAAGGGCTGCACTGGAAGCAGAAAGGTTCTGCATCGTGACTCTTTCTCAATAGAATCATTGTAAGCTATTGTAGACTGTCAGTCTTGGGTGAATTTAGAGCAAGATTTAAAGTCTTTCTTTAACTCTCTTTTGCAGGGGTTCCAAGCACCACTGGCCAAAGAGATAGTCCTTGTTCTGGGAGCTGTGGGAGCTGCTGAAGGAAACAATAGACAGAAGTAACCATGGAAAGGCAAATGCTGGTCAATGAGCAGTTTTCGTACAGAAATGTTTTTAAGTCCATTAAAACCTTTTTTTTTTTTTTTCCAAAAGGGAAAACATCTTCATTGCTTTGGCTTTTATTGTATTCACACTGTTCTTTGTAATTATAATGTTGCCTTGTTTCTAATTTTGAAAGTTTGTCCTCAAATGCAGTCAGATTAAGCTTAAGTGGATATGGAGGAACATTTTGGCATCACTGAAGTCAGCGCAAAAGTAATTGAGAGGCTCAATAGATGTGATTTAAGCTCCAGCAGTCCAGAGGAAGAACTAAGGCCAGACTGACCTTAGCCCTTGCTTACACATTGAACTGCACAGCTCACCTTTTACAAGACAAGGTAATGTGAAAAATGAGAATGTTCCTGGCAGCGTTAGAATTACAAAGTAAAGGTTGTGAGGGGTAGGTGTGTAAGGGTTGAGGTGCCTTTTAGGTCAGACAGAGTAGGTAGTTGCTTTTTCTCCGTAATGATACAGAGTGAAAGCAATGCTTTAATGTAGAAAATAAAGCCAGGGAGGTTCTGCGATGCAGCCAGATGTCAGCACAGCTATCCTAATGTGTCATGGTTGTAAATATTCACAGCCAGTTACCCGGATGCCTTTGTACAAAGAGAATCAGCCCGCGATTTGATTCAGGGGTGGCTGAGCTCATTCTGAGCACAGCTGAAAGCTGGGAGCACTCCTATGATTGAGGTAAACAACTTCAGCATCCTGGGGTTGTATAAACCCATAGCTGTGCAGCGTTGTTGCTGGATCTCTGGTCACTGAGCAGTGCAACTCGCTCCCACAGTCCTTGAGTTTGCTCTGGTGTTTGTTTCTGCCTAAAGAGATCCCCTGCCCTGCTCACCTGTTTGGGCAGTGACAGCATTCCTTCTCAGAGGTGAAGTGCAAGGACTGGCTGAGGAATGGTGAATCTTCCTTTTGCATTCCCAAAGCCCAGGGTTGCACTTTGAAGAATAACTGAGGAGGTCTGGTGGATTTTTGTTTCTTTTCAGTCTTTCCCTGTGTCTCTGCGATACACTGGAAGGTTTTTTCCCCATGTGTTGTCCACTGCTCACAAAGCCTGCCTGCACGTGGAATTACATTTGAAGAGAGGCACATGAATAGCAGCTGAAGAAGCTGATTTAGCTGCTTTAGGAAGGGCTGCCCAACTCCCTTCTGCGCAGCTCTACTGCTTCTGACTTTGACAACTGAACAAACTGAATTGAGTAAATCGTAATGAAAGACCAATTGGCTGCAGAGGTGTTACAAATGATGCAGTTTTAGGCTCCCAGCTGGCCTGATGGTCAGTGATGGTGATGTGTCCTGCTTCTCACCATGAGGGGGTTTTGCTGTGGGTATGACGGGCTGTGCTGGGGCTGCTTCTGTAAGCCGGGCCGCTTCTGCGGCTGCTGTGCGCCCTACCACGTTCTGTAGCGTCGCCGCGTGCTGCAGGAAGGGATTGCCTTCGCCTTCTCAGCACGCAGCCCCTAACTCTCCGAACCAGCCGTTTCCCGGGCGGCGGTTACTCGCTCAGCGCTCCCAGGACGCTTTAATTACTATGTAACAAGAAACTCTGGGCTCTGTTACAGGCTCCAACGTGGATCCGCGTGCGGAACCGCTCTCCGCCCCCGGCTGCGCCTCATCCCCGCAGGCAGCACCTCGGCCCCGTTCCCAGGTACGCCGGCACCCCGCGGTCCCTCCGCCTACGGGGGGCTCGGAGGCGCGGCAGCTCCGGGCGCGCCGCCGCACGTGGCCCCTCGCCGCCGGCCGCACTACCCTGCTGGCGCTGACGTCACGCCGCTCCGAGCCAATGGGCGTGATGCGGCGGGCGGGCGGCCAATGGGAGCGCGGCGGCGCGCGCGCTTGCGGCGGAGGCGGGGCGGGGCGCGGCGGCGCGTGGGCCCCTGCGCTCCTGTGCTCGGCTCCCGCGCCGGCGGGGTCAGGCGGTGCGCGGGGCAGGGCCGGGCCGGGGGCACTGAGAGCGGCGCGGATAGCAGCACGGGGAGCGGCACGGGAGGCGCCGGGCCCGGCGGGGCGGCGTGGGGCGGCGGGGCCGGACAGGGATGGAGCGCGGCGCGGCGGCGCTGATTCGCGAGGGCTGGTTCCGCGAGACGTGCCGGCTGTGGCCGGGCCAGGCCATGTCGCTGCAGGTGGAGGAGCTCCTGCACCACCAGCGCTCCCGCTACCAGGAGATCCTCGTCTTCCGCAGGTGCGGCGCGGGGCGGCGGCCGAGGGCGGTGGGGGCCCCGCGGCGCCGGGGAGCGGGGGGAGCGCGGCCGAGGGCCGGTTCCGACCCCGCTTCCCCGCTCTGCCCAGCACCACCTACGGCAACGTCCTCGTCTTGGACGGGGTGATCCAATGCACGGAGCGGGACGAGTTCTCGTACCAGGAGATGATCGCCAACCTGCCGCTCTGCAGCCATCCCGACCCCCGCAAGGTAAGCCGGCCCCGCGCCCTCGCCGCCTCCCCGGGGCCCGTCGGTCCCGGCACTCCCGCGCCTCCCCGCACGCCTCGCCGCGGTGTCCCGCAGCCCTCCGACCCGCGTACACCTCCTTCCCTCCTCTCCCGCCCCAGGTGCTCATCATCGGCGGCGGCGACGGCGGAGTGCTGCGCGAGGTGGTGAAGCACCCCACCGTGGAGTCCGTGGTGCAGTGCGAGATCGATGAGGTGCGCGGGGCACACGGCAGCGCTGCCCTGCAGCATCCCCCGGCCGCGCTTCACCTGCTGCCCCGTGACAGCCCTGAGCGCTGACGCCACTCCTCGCCTTGCGACGTGGCAACTGGCCGCTGCCTCCTGCGCCTTCCCGTGCACGCATGTGGCTGAGGCCCTTCCAGGCCGGCGCCGGCTCTCCCGGTTCCTGAAGGAGCTGCTTTCCCCATCCCCTGATGTGTAACAGCACATCCTCTTGCCGGAGGAATATGGGTTCTTTGTTAAGCAGGCTCCTTGCACTGGTAGCAGGAAATAAGCGAGGGGATTTGTTTCCATGACAAATGGGCTGCTTCTCCTCGGTCAGTTTGCTCTGATGTTTTACTTTGAGAAGACAGCATAACTTTCTAATAAAGCGAGGCTGTGCTGTAAATGGAAAATGCTGCTGTGGGAGCCCCCATACCTGTCTGCCAAACCATGTAGGCAACACGTGCTTGGTTCTGAACAAGTGTGGCCTGACAGCAGAGCAGTTCTCGTCTCTGCCGTTTACGAGAAGCTGGGGATGCCCACTGCTAGTGCTGGGGCTCAGGCTGTCTCACACAGTGCGTGGCTTGTAGCAATTTCACATAAAATATACTTCATGTCGAGACTGAATGTAGTGACTGTAGAGCAGAGACGGGGATGTTTCTCACGTTGCATCTATAAACCTGCTGCTGTGGTCTTGTTTAAAAAGGAAAAAAAAAAATCCTAAATTGATATCACCTCTGCAAGTGATGTCCTCAGGGAAAAGGAGCACAGCAGCAGACAGCAGTCCGCAGTCAGATTCTCTGAGCTCCTCAGGGAGCTTTTGAAGCTGTAAGTTCCTCTTGTTGAGTTTGGCACGGACACAGAGTGTCAGTGAACTCTGAGGCCATAGGAAAGGGCTGAGTGTAGTTCGTTGGCTGAGGATGCTGACAGCTCTTGAGGATCCAGCTAGAGTGCAGTTTGTGCTGAAGGCATGGAAGGAAATGACTCATAGCGCTGCAGCTGCACAGTGGCCTGGAAAGCAGCTCCTCGTAGCCCCCTCTGACCCACTTGTGCTCTCTGTGTTGCAGGATGTGATCCAGGTGTCTAAGAAATATCTCCCTGGGATGGCAGTCGGGTATTCCAGTGCTAAACTGACCCTGCACGTCGGAGATGGTTTTGAGTTCATGAAACAGAATCAGGAAGCCTTTGATGTGATTATCACGGACTCATCTGACCCCATGGGTAAGAATCCCGTCTGTAAAAGGGCACTGCTTTCCACACTTCTGCTTTTCTCTCTGGCTGCCTTCTTGGAAGGAGTTACTTGGAAGTAATGCTGGTCTGCCCAGTTTCTTTTTCGAGTGGAAACTCTGTCACTGACGTGGTTGTTTTGGTAGAGAAAGGGAAGGATGAAGACCAGAAAATTGTATTAATGAGGCTTTGAGGCAGCTGTCACATTTCTCTCCTCAAAATTCAATTGCAGCCACTAGTGCTTCTGGCAGGGAGTTGATCCTTGAGTCCAGTGATCCCATGGGAAATACAGCACCAGGCTGGCAAAGAGCTTTGCACGTGAGCCCTCTAACAAAGCAATGGCTCATGTGCTGTTGGTGGATCTGCAGCCTAAAGACAGAGAGCTGCATTTCTGAAGGTGAGATCTGGGGCACAGAAGGGAAAATGTGGTTATGGTGCCTGAGTTTCCGTTGATCTTGCTCGAGTCCACACAGAGACGTCTGTAAAAGGCAGATTGTAGCAGAAGTTTGATTTGAAGAAAACTGGGGCAAGAAGCAGCTGCAAGGATTCTCTGGTAAAGATCCTGGGACTGCTCTTGAGGAAAGCTGAAATCCTGGTGGTTTTGTTGTGCTAGGTGTAGGCTGAACCCCAGGGTCAGAACTCTGCTTTCAGATCATTTCCAGCACTTGTCCTCACTGAAAAGCTGCTTGAACTGATTCTTGGTCAGTGCAGACTGCGTGCAGCCCGAGCATTCCGAAAACTATGAGTCTACTTTCTGAGCCTCTCTCTAGATGTACCTTTTTTCTTACAGGTCCTGCAGAAAGCTTATTCAAAGAATCCTACTACCAGCTGATGAAGACAGCACTGCGCGAAGATGGGATTCTCTGCTGCCAAGGTGAGGATGCTCTCTAGGTAGAGGTTGATGCCAAATCATTGCCTGCTGAGCGTGAGTCCCAAAGGGAGACGTGATGCAGGGGGAAAAATTGATTTCAGCTGTGATGTAGGACATTAAATCCATTTTAGCTCCCAGGTATGGCAGTGGTTTTGATCCGTTTACGTCAACTCATTAAGAGCTGGTCTGCACATAGTGTAAAACTGGCGTAGTGGTCTTATCTCACCTCTGAAACTACATGAGCTGTCTGGAATGGAGCAGGTTTGGACTTGGAGCTGCTGTTAACTTGGCACAGGCCTGCGCAGAGAAAAGGGGCAGCTCTCACTTTGCATCCTGTCTTGCTCTCTCCCTGTAGGTGAGTGCCAGTGGCTGCACCTGGATCTCATTAAGGAGATGCGTCAGTTCTGCAAGTCTCTGTTCCCTGTTGTGGAATACGCCTATTGCACCATCCCTACGTACCCCAGCGGGCAGATTGGCTTCATGCTCTGCAGCAAGAACCCAGTGAGTTTCAGGCACCTGAAGTGCCCCTTTTCGCTCCCTGAGAGTACTGCAGAGCTTGCCTCAGCTTGGGGGCTTCTGGGCTTCTTGTGGTCCCAGGTCTGTCAGCTCAGGGCACCAGAGGTGCAGTGCAGTTTGTTCAGCAGAGTGCACAGTTGGCCTGTAACGTAAGCAGTTGCTTTAGGAAAAATATTATAATTTTGTCTCCTGTACAACTAACTCGTAAAGGTGAAAGATACTTCTGATCAGAGGTCTGCTCTTTTCCTAACTTGATGCATTGCTGTTAACCCACAATGTATTTGTTGCACTGTTGGGGGGGGGGGGGTGGAAATCAGGCAGCACTTCTGCTGCTGTATTTAGTTTAACTGGGACTGTGGCAGCTTGCACTGTGCCTGACTTAACACAGATGCTGATTCTGCTCTGAAGAGCAAAGGCTCTTGATTCTGGGATGTTTGGGCACAGTCTGACAGCTTCATCTGGCACGTGGCTCACATTCAGTCTGACCTCATAGGCAGACATCTGTGAACAAGGGCTAGTCACACAAGGTACAGCGTGTAAACTCCAGCCCTTGGGGCTGGAGCTGCGCAGAACCTTTGACATCATACTAGAACAGAAAATCATCTGTTTTCCTGTGAGTCCTTTTGGTTCTCTGCCACGAATCGGGCTGCCCGTTGTGCAGCACTGTGCTTGTTTCCTAAATGCTACAGCACTACCTGGCTTCTCTGTTGCAGAACACAAATTTCCGAGAGCCTGTGCAGCAACTCTCACAGCAACAAGTAGAGGAGAGGAGTCTGAAATACTACAACTCTGACATTCACCGGGCAGCTTTCATCCTGCCAGAGTTTGCACGGAAGGTAAGTAGGGCTGTGCTGATCCTCCTCCATCAGAATGAGGTATGACTTTGCTTTGACAAGGCTGGGAATATACAAAGTTGAGGATTTGCTGCAGCCCTGAAGGCTTCTCTGGGCAAGTTGGAGCAGGGTGGCATTTTGTATGACATGGCAGAGGGTGAGTCAGTCTGGTAAGACTGGAGTTCAATTTGGAACTGTTATTTGGGTTGATGTCCCAAGTTTTGATGGCAGATCACTTGTACTTTGCCTACCATAAATGAGTCCAAGAGCCTGCAGAACTGGTGTTTTCCACTGGAAAGCTCCGAAAGTCTTGGATAAATAAAAAATCTGGTTGTGGTTTTTAGTGCAAACCAGAGGATATAGAAAGGATGGTGTGTAGTTCAGTCTGCCTTCTTGAAGTCCTTCATCTCTAACCGCAGGTTCTAGCGGAGCGCATCCTCAGAGTGCCCTAGGGACGAGGGCAGGTGTTGTGGGTGTGTTTCAGAGCCATCTGTCTGCTCAGGACTGCTACATTTGTCCATCCTGACATTTCTTTTCTTGGCTGTCGCCAGGCCCTGAGCGATGTGTGAGACCGAGAAGCTCCTTCCTCCTTTCAAGTTGGACCCTGAGATCATCAGTGATGTGGGGACCTTCCTAGCAGACTACAGATTTGCTCTCCACTGTGTGGGATCGTTTAACCCCTTGCCAGCCAACATTCCCTTTGATGTGTCATAACCCAGATAAGACTATTGAAAAGGTCCAGTGACTTATTGCGTGAGGTCAAAACTGTTGTTTGCAGTACTGGAAATGTAAGATGTCTTCTTCCTTCCTCTCCTCCCTTTACCCATTCTAAATTTGCCTCCACCCAACTGACAACGATATATTTATAACTGACGTGTATTTCTGTCTGGTGATCTTCTGAAACTTGGGAAGAGTCCAGGAGGTTCACTGACTCGGCCTTAAGCACAGAGAGCGAGAGCTTTGTGCACAGTTAGCTTGCTCTCTCCTAATAGAAGCTCCCTGCTGCTGAGACATTTTGACTGGTAACGGGTCTGAGCCTTCACATCCCACTGCCCTGCTGTGATGCCTGTGCTGTTCTGCAGCACAGCTGGAGAAATCACAGTGCAAACTGTTGCCATTCACAATAAGTCTCCCTCCAACCCTGATGGAGTAGCAGTATTAAACGCCAGCATGCCAGGCTGGCAGCAAAGTCTTGTGGCTTTTATTTTAATTTTTTTTTCAATTGGTTGGAAACAGAAATGCTGAGGTTCTGACAGGCTGACTCCTGTTCTTACCCCTGCCATCAAAATGGTTCCAAAGAATGTTTATCAATCAGGTGATAGGCGCTTTATATATAAAAATATAAATATAAATATATATATAAAAAAAAATCAAACCTTAGATCCATTGCCTGCTGTTCAGTACTGATGCTGGGGAGGCAGTTGTGCTGATAAATCTCATCTCAGTCCTGCTGAGGTGCCTCAGGCCTGGGTATTTGCTAGTCGTTAGGAGGCATCATTACTTCTAATGCTGCCCCCAGAAGTGTAAAGCTGTTTCTCGTTTTACTGTGTTGTGAGATGGATCTTCCTCCACATCTACTTCTGGGTTAAAGTCTCCGTGCCACCGCTGTGCAACAGGGATCCGTTCCAGCACAACCACTGTGCAATTGTCACTCCCTTGCAATCAATTAAACACTCGGCTCTGGTTAAGGTGACGTGAGTGTGGGTTGCTGTATTTCTTTGGGGGGAGTGTGGGAGTGGTGACGAAGTCTGCAAGTTTGCTGTGCTTGTCAGAAGACATCCAGGGGCACTCGTAGTTGGTGCGCCCTCCTGCCTCTAGAGCTGACAAACGTCATAAAAATAAGTTGTGGAGAGTGATCCCATTGCTTGCTTTGTGTTGTAACCTGGCTGCATTATGGCTCCAGCTTCTGTCATTCTCTGCACTGCAGAAGTCTGTACCTTCTATTCCAACTATTCCCTAGTCCAAATGCTGCCTATGCTGTACCTTTCCAAGCCGTTCTCTATCTGCCCATCTCCCTGTGTGCATAGCTCAGTTCCTGTCAATCACTGGCCCCACTCAGTTGCACCATCTTTTCCTCTGTAAACTTGCAGTGGCTGAGTGGCTCTGAGGGCTGAAACTGCACTGAAGTCCAGGTGCTGAACAGGCTGAGAACAGTCGCTAGGTGGCATCAGGAGAATAAAAAAAAAAAAAAATCCAGTCCTGAGGGAGATGGGGGTGGATGAGAGAAAACCAGAAGGAGCAGCATTTTGCAACGTTTGGGATTGAGCTTTGCCATAAATGTGACCTTGCAGACAGCACAGATGGTGCAGCCACTGGCTGCCTACAGCAAGAGGCCTGCTTCAGTGGTGCCAGCAAATACCTTCCTGCTTTCTCCTTTGTGAGACTTCCCACTTCTTTCCTGATGTGCCCCTTCCACTACCGGGATCAGTGTAGCTTCTTTGTTGTTGTAAGGGTTTGCAGAAGCATTGCTGAGCTGCAGAGCTAAGTGGATAATGTTTTGTTTGCTGTATCTAGAAACTTTCATCTGTTTTGTCTCTTAATTGTCTGGGAAACTCTTCTTATTCCCACAATTACTGATTAGTTAGATTTGTCCTTGTACAGAAGGCTATGGAGGCATTGTCACTGCTCTACTCTTGTGTGTTTATTACAAAGAGCAGATCAGTATGATAGAGGCTGGCTCTAGCTACTCTTCTTTAAATTGCTGTGGGACCTGAGCCCCATTCAGCCCTTCATCCTTGACAGAAAACCACCTTTAGCACCTTCTCTCTCCTGGAGCCAGATCAAGACTAAGACTGTAATCCAGGAAGGCCTCAGAGCAGCTGCCAACTGGTAACAAGTTCAAGCCTTCCACCCACTCTCAGTGAGTACAATGCCCAGGAGCAAAAGAGCTCCCTCCAACCTGTTACTGGCTTCCACACAGCTTCCTTCTGTTTTTCTGAGCTCTCAAGAAAGTTCAGTGAGTGAGCAGTGGTGGGAACAGGAGGATGGGGCTGTTTGCCATCTGATTTGCAAATGCTCTGTGCGTAGATAAGGTCCAGTAAACAATTTGAGTGGTTTTCAATCAGTATCCTTTACAGGCAGTCACATATTTCAGTGCCTTGCAATAGGTGAAGACACATCAGTGCTTGAATCGAGCACTCATTAACAGTGCAGCAAGAGAGGGAATGTGAATCTGCTTCTGTGGCTGGTTCTGTCTGAGCAGCTTGGAGCAATTTATTATTGGTTTGGCTTATTGGTTAAGCACTGCCATGAGGTCTGCAAGACATATAACTGCTAAAGCAGCATTTGTTGTGGCAGTCACCTGTCAGGTAATGGTGTCTGCAGGTGATTATCCCTTCTGTAAGCATAATGAGGTGCGAGCTGTGATGCTGCAGGATGCTGTGGCACTGGGATGCCAGGGATTAGAAAGAGACTGACAATTTGGGATATGTGTAACGGGAGAAAAATAATGGGATCTCCAACTGAATTGAGCATGAATGCTTGAAAGCTGTCTTTGCAGCGTCTCCAGTTGGGCAACTGGAAGGCTTGAGTAACTGTGCTGGAGACTTAGCTGTGTTTTGCCTGAGGCAAGGCTGCTCGTAAGCAGAGATCCACAAAGATGCTGTTTGTCTAGACATGCTGCAGTCATGTTCCTGTACCTTATAAAGCTGGGAGCTGTGTGAGCAGTGACAGGCTTTGTCCCATGCACCACACATTGCAGTATCACTCGGAGCAGGTGGAGTCAGATGAGGTAACAGAGCCTGATGGGCTTCAGCACATCAATTCCTTCAGCCTCTTGGCGCCTTCTGAACCATCAGACTCCCTGTTCCGTGCGCTTTACTTATTAAACTAACTCAATTTTTCAGAGTTCAGAAAAGAGCTTAAAAAACTAAGAGAAATCTCTTGCCCATATCTCTTGAGCCCTTTCAGCCAGTTAATTGGTATGAGTGTCTTATTCATCCAGAGCTAATGTTATCAAGGCCTGGCTTAAATTATTGATGGAGCTTGGCTGGAGCAAGAGATTGCTGAAGTAGGAATGACAATTCATCTTGCATCAGAGAGCAGCAGTCTCAATAAGCAAACAGTCAAAAAAAAAAAGCCACCAAGTTCAGGGAGAGGCCAGTTTCTATGATAAAATGGGAGGAGAAAAAAGGAAAAGCTGGGACAAAAGCATGAAAAAGCAGCTCCAGTCTAGACAAAGTCAGACAAAATGTCATTAAAAAGTAAGATGAGAAATGTAATGAAGTTACGTACTGAGAAGCCTCGGTGAAGCTCTTTCCTGGCTGCGTACAGGATGGAGTTAAATGCTTTTAAATATGCAGGAGGTGGGGAATTAGAGCCAGGGGATCTCAATTATAGAACAGCAACATGTGAAGCAGATGAAGGCAGGAGGATCATTAGGAATGTGAAAGATGTCAGTGACAGGCTGTTCCCGAGCGGCAGCTCCACAGCCTGCAAAGCCACGCTGGGACCTGGAGCTGGCTGCCTCTCCTTGGTACTGAGCAGCACTGAGGGAATTTGCTTAAGCAAGCTGCTCCTGCTTGCCAGCAGCAAGGCAAGGTGATGCATGTGATGACCTTTGTGTGTTTCATCCCTCTTCGGCTGCAGGAGAGGAACAGCCTCACCCCCCATGGAGTGCATGAATCCTGTGTGAGGCTCTCCCAGCTGAGCGGTCCCTGGCAGGATCAGCCCTGTGTGCTAACGTCAGTGCCCAGCTGTTGCTGCCTGAATTCCCACAAGGCACAGAGCATGTGCAATCCCTCAGGAATCCCTTGCCACCGATGGGATGAGTCTGGTGTAACAGAGGTCAGTTCATGTGTCGTGAGGCAGTAGTCATCTCACACATCCTTAGCCTGTTTCACAGCCTGACGTTCCTCCTGCTCAGAGCTGGGCAAAGCATGGTTGGTGGAAAACTTGAAGAATTTCAAAGTAAGTGTCTCATAGCCAGTAGTTGTTTTTTGAAGATGATTTTGAGTGGCAAACTTGAAGTGTTTTAACTTTACGCTGCACACTGAAATAAAAGGTTTTGAGCATACCACTGAAGCACTATGCCTGCCCTCCTGCAGTCCTGTCGAGGCCGATGGACAGAGAAGGCAGTGCTGCTCCTCTCACTCTGCCTCCCCAGGGAGCTGTAACAGGCTTGTAGTTATGTGTGCTCTGACAGCAGCATCCCTGCGGTATTCCCCTCCTCCTCCCTGCACCTGCTCTGCAGCTCTTATCAGAGATGAGCGGGAGCTGTAGGCTCCAGCCCACGCTCTTTCTTGGGTCTGTTAGATTAGAGCCAATGAAAGCCATGGCTGACACAGCCACCCGTATGCTTTGTGGAGTCCTTTGGGGACTGCGCTGCGAGGGAACGCTGCAAGCCTGGCCTGATAAATCAGCTGTGATTTCAGACCCATGGACAAATTGGTTTCCCCTTCCAGGAAGGCTCACAACTGTCAGATGAGCATTGCTTTATTTATTGTTCTGTCCTTTGCAACTAGGGACTCTTGAGGGCAAGCAGAAAGGCTTCCAGTGACATGAAAGCAGAGGTATTGCAACTCTTCCTTCAGCTGCAGTTGAGTGTCCCACCTTTGGGAACCTGACTGTTCTGGAAGCCTGATGCAATTCTGCAGCATGCTTCAAAAACGTCTGGTCATCCAAATTCAAACCAGGTAACAAATGGGTAGAAGACAGCAAATATCCAAGCGACAGAGGAAGGTAATAGAGATGATCTAATTCCTTAATGTGGCACTCGGTGCCAGGCATTGTGTTCCCTTTTGTGTTCTAATAATGCCTTCACTGCTGTACCGACGCACTGACAAGAGGGCAGTGAACTCCTTCGAAGACAAAATCCCCTGTGCGTATTGCTTGGTCACCCTTTATCACAAAAAGATGGTAGTGGTTGTAATTGTGGAAGCATATTCTGTGAGCACTGGTGCTTACACAGGCCTTTTCAGGCCACCTTCTATGCTGAATTTCCATCTGGAGGATCCCCACCTGTACCAGGCTGATGGACGTGTTCGCAGGCGTGCTGATAGCAGATAGATCTGCCCTCATTGTAAAGTGGTAGCAACCCACTCCTACTGCTCCAGACAGAAGAGAGTGTCAATGAAAATCAATGAAAAAGGACTTCTAAATGAGTGAGTCAGGTAACTGAGGGAGGGAAAGTTCAAGAGGATGTCAAGGGAAGGCCTTAAACCTCCCTGTACAGTGATAAGCATTTAAGGGTTAGCAAAGGAAAAGTTTGGGCCACCTTAAGGTCAGCCAGTGATGACAGAGAATGGGAAACAGTAGCAATGCTGGTGCAACCTGTTGATACTTCTTTCCTGTTACCATAAAAAACAAATGTATCACTGTGGAGTTACTCTGCTTCCTTTGGAGAAGGAAGTCAGCCCTAATGTTACAGGAGGCACCAAGGGTTGCAAAAGGGCCAGAGGATCAGAGCTTGAGGACAGGCTGATGTAGAGGAAAGGGAAGATGGAGGAAGCTGGGAAAAAAGGAAAATAAGCTTCTGGTATTGAAGGGTGCTGAAGCAGAGCAGCTGAGAGAACCTATTTGATTCTAGAGATTTGGTCCCAGTGTGGAACTGCTTCCATGTGTGCTTATTCCCTTCCCTCGCAGCTGGGAAGGGTCCCTGCCTTTCCCTAAGTAGAAGTGCAGGTTTTGTCTGCATTGTGCTGGTCAGAGGAATGCAGGTTTGGTGCTTGCATGTCTGGGCAGATACACTCCAAA